GACCCCAGTAAGGTGGTCATCCAACCTCCTCTTAAAAACCCCCAGGGTGGGAGCCTGCACCACCTCACTTGGAAGCTGGTTCCAGACTCTAGCCGCCCTGACCGTGAAGTAGCGCCTCCTGATGTCCAACTTAAACCTTCCCTCCGCCAGCTTGTGACCGTTGTTCCTGGTCACTCCTTGCGGCGCTCGGGGGAACGGAGCTGTGCTGGCTGCACCCTTGCTTGCCTGACAGAAGACTTCCAGTAAAGAGAAAATTAGCTGTCCACCTGCAAGGGGAAACCCACTGTTTTCCGAAGGAACCCAGGCATCCAGGGACCCCAGCCCTATGGACAAGGGGGAACTCAGGCATCCAGGGGCCCCGGCCAGAAGGCATAATTAATTATATTTATCAGAGAATATTATTGGCTACAATAGGCAAAAAAAGCGGATAGGCGATGATGTAAATTTCCCTTTTATCGATGCCAATCCGATATGCAACCAGTATATCAGTGCACCTTTAATACTGTATTCTGGGATGTGTTGTATGTGAGGAAATGCATCATTTCAAATGCTTTATTTTTTTTTTTTTCACCAAGTCATTTTACTGTACTTCTTCTGACTAGATTTTGTGACAGATTATATCTCTGCCCAAAGGCATTTTTTGGTTCAAAAGCCAAAAATTGAGCAGAAACTATTTGCCCTTTTTTGAAGGTAAAGGGAGAGGGAGAATAGGGAAGGCCCAGGTTCAATTCCCCCCTCTGTCACTGACTTTCTGTGTGATCTTGGGCAAGGCACAATGGTGGTGGCATTGTTGCTAGTATTCTCAGTGTTAGACAGCTGTCGAATATCCAGCAAAACTGTACAGTGCTATAGATGCCAAGTTAAACTAAGTGGAGCAGCTAAATTTAAATAAACCTGGGTATATAATGAACCTGTTTTGCTCCTTTCACTAACAAGTAAGGTGCTTGGAGGTGGCTAAAGAGAATTTCTGTAGTTGCTTTACTGTGGAGTATATAAAGCCACGGGCTGAAGTAGAAGGGCATTGAATTTATTTACAGTGGATCAGTAGGGTGCACATTTGAATGAGGCAGGGCTCCACAGCAAATGGTATGGTATATGTTGAGCAGAAGGTGAGACTAGGAAATGGTGATCTCTTCTGACCTGAAGATCAACAGACTTATCATGTAATATTCTCACTAAATAGGGCAGCATTATCTAGGAGCCCTTGCCTCATTCACTGTGAATATCAAGGGCTATAGGCTGTACAGGAGGGATAGGACACGGAGGAAAGGTGGTGCTCTACATTATGGAGGAATGCACATCCTCATCAATTAGCAAAGAATCAGAGGAGGGGCACACGGAAGTGCTCTGGGTTAGAATACAGGGCAGTCAAAGGGAAAGAGATTTAACGGTCGGGGTCTACTACAGACCACCCAACCAAGGGGAAGAGTTAGACCAGGAATTCTTAAGTCAGCTCACGGAGGTAGTTGGGTCAAAAGATGTGGTCATCATGGGTGACCTGAACTTTCCAGACATCTACTGGGAAGAGCAGTCAGCCAGGTCTGACAGTTCATGTAGGTTCCTAGCCCAAATGCAGGACCTCCATCTAACCCAGGAGGTGCACAATCCCACCAGGGGAGATGCCTTGTTGGACCTGGTGCTGGCCATGGGTGACGACCTGGTGAGGAGGCTGTGGGTGCTTGACCACCTGGGCGACAGTGATCATCACCTGCTGGAATTCACCATCCAGCGCAAGGTGGCAAAGGCCTGCAGCAAGGTTCCGGGTTCCAGGTAACGTGGGGCCCCTGCAAGACACGCTAGGAAGAAGGACCTGGGAAACTATAGGCCAGTTAGTCTTACCTCAATCCTGGGCAAGCTTTTTGAGAGAATTATCTTGGCACATGTCCACGAAGGGCCAGCAGGGGAGATTATGATTAGGG